TTTACAAACCATCATCCAAAAATATGGGTTGCAAAAAAAAGGGTTGCAAAATATGTGCCTTAAAATTGCAACCCATGCCCCATGGAGTAGAATTTTAAGGCACATATGTTGCAACCCTTATGTCTTGCAAACAATATGATTTGCAAAAGTACATTTTTGCCTTATTTCAAGGAATTTTGCAACCATTAGTTTGCAACCCATCTATGAGTTGTAAATTATGTTTTGCAAAACTGCACAACATGGTATGTAAAATTGAATTTTACAAACCATATTTTGCAACCCTCCAAAAAAAAAAAAAAGAAAAAAAAGAGGCAGACACTATGGAATATGGAGGTACTGAACCGCCACTTTGGCCAAAAAAAATGTAAAAATGATGGGATTGTGTCTATCATTGATGACCAGTTTTGACCGGTCATTTATGTGGGTGTTTACTCCCATCAATGACCAGTCAAAACCAGTCATCAATTGGAGTGTTTACTCCCATCAAAAAATGAAAAAAAAATTCATCAGCCAATTTGGCCATACATTCTTCCCATTGATGACCATTATGACACTGTTTGTCAATTGGAGGACACACTCCCATCAAGGACCAGTTATGACTGGTCCTTGATTGTAGTAAACACCTCCCAACATCCCCCATCAATGACCGGTTTTGACCAGTCCTTGATGGAAGTAAACACCCCCAAGCACCCCCATCAATGACCGGTTTTGACCGGTCATTGATGGGATTAAACACCCCCAGCAATATTGGTGGGCCGCTACGCTACACTACGCTTTTGGCCCAAAAAGCGTAGCGTAGCGGCGCTTTTTTTGCGCCAAATTTTTGTAGTGTTAGCGCTTTTGTAGCGCATTTTCGCTACGCTACGCTGCGCTACAGCGCTTTTAGCGGAAAAAGCGGCTAAAAACCGCTAAAAACGGCTGTAGCGCAGCATAGTGGGCCCTTTTTTGTGGCCCACACGCGTAGCGTTAGCGGTGTCGTGGCGGAATTCCGCTACGCTACGCTTAACGCTAACGGAAATTCCGCTGCGTTACGCTACACTAACCGCTACGGTTAGTGTAGCGGCCCACCGTTGCCAGCAATGACTGATTTTTTTTTTCTTTTTTTCTTTTTTTCTTTTTTTCTTTTTTTCTTTTTTTCTTTTTTTCTTTTTTTCTTTTTTTCTTTTTTTCTTTTTTTCTTTTTTTTTGTCAAAGTGGCGGTTCAGTACCTCCATATTCCATAGTGTCTGCCTCTTTTTTTTTTTTTTTTTTTTTGGAGGGTTGCAAAATATGGTTTGTAAAATTCAATTTTATATACCATGTTGTGCAATTTTGCAAAACATAATTTACAACTCATAGATGGGCTGCAAACTGATGGTTGCAAAATTGCTTGAAAGGGTTGCAAAATATGGTTTGTAAAATTCAATTTTACATACCATGTTGTGCAGTTTTGCAAAACATAATTTACAACTCATAGATGGGTTGCAAACTAATGGTTGCAAAATTCCTTGAAATAAGGCAAAAATGTACTTTTGCAAATCATATTGTTTGCAAGACATAAGGGTTGCAACATATGTGCCTTGAAATTCTACTCCATGGGGCATGGGTTGCAATTTTAAGGCACATATTTTGCAACCCTTTTTTTTGAAACCCATATTTTTGGATGATGGTTTGTAAAATTATACATTACCCCCATAAAAATGTAATTTTACAAACTATCCGGTTTACAAGACATATGTCTTGTAAAAAATAGTTTGTAAAATTACAGCGACCCGTTTAAGATTACCTCAGGATCCAGGTCGCGACATGCTCATCTGATTTTCAATCCGAACAAGTCTCCCCTCGACTCCATCAAGGCTCAGCAGTGAATGGCATTATCGTAAGCACTTCGCATAAGTCTTTGTATCAACACATGTTACAAATTCGATTCCTAATCTATTTCCTGCATGGAAACAACGACTTCGGGGCTTTGATTTGAACATTAACAATGTTCCTCGACTTCAGGCTGATGATAGGCTTGCGCGGTCCAACTATCATTGCGTCGTTGCTTCGCCACTCGTTCCGCAAACGGATTGTATCAATTATCCCGGGTGTTATTGATCAAGCATTCATCAATTCCTCCTTCAGACTCGCATGTGCAAGATCCACTAAATTAACCCGCCGAATCGACCGTTCGGAATATGCGACTTGTTCCGATTTCCCTCATCTCAATCATGAAGGAAGAGTACGGGACGGCATGACCTTAACATCTGATAAAACCAAATAAGCTACAAACGTGACGACCCCAACAGATAACGATTTCTCACACGCGTACATCAAGCACATGGTAACCGAGAGACGATCTTGCGATGACACATCTCAGCCCGGCTGTAATGGATCCAGGTATTCTACGCGATCTTGGATGATGGTTTCCTTTTAATCCCTTCTCCGTCGCACGACTCCCAAACTCATTTCTGATTCCTCATTGGGAGCCTCCGACGAGCGGTGATAAAGTTGTGAAACGGCCCTCAACGTGGCCCTCGGAGGCCGGGTTTGGGAGGTGGAATAGTCTTCGATGTCGCTCACATGATCGTTTCATTCAAATCAACCTTTGTCGTTGTCGCCGATTTCTGAGGCCGTCAACCCATCTGTTGTGTCACTGGGGGGATGATAGTGAGGGCCGATCGAAACGGGAGCTCGCCTTACGACACGAGATTGGCCGCTCGAGACGTTGCTCTTCAGTGCAACAAGTCGAGATCACTGCTGTCCACATCAAGCTCTGTGCTAACAGTGAAAGTCACACCAAATCACCTGGGCCCGGTCGACAAGCCAACACCCGAGCTCTTGCCCGTGCGAGTATGTACCTCCGCCGAATTGAGGAGGCCACCCCTGTCCCTACCGGCAGCACACATAGAGGATGAACGACATCCAATCTACAAATCAAGCGATTGGTCTTCTCACACGTTGCAGTTCGCTCCGGTTGGCGTCGTTGGAGTCGTCTATGATATTGCAGTATGGGGAAAAGTCATTTTTTTAAGCTGTGTCATATCTTGATTTGTCTTGGCCTTCAATAGATGACCTATACGCTTAGTACACAGCCAATTTTTACACCGTTAAATGTCCGGCCATTATCACCTCTCATTTCTGAGGATGGATTTGAAATGAAACGCTTTTTAATTGCACACCCATCCCCTAGAATTCACACTTGGCATTGGGGTGGAAAATTGAGCTTGAGTAGTGGACTTAACACGCGCATGTGAGTATTAGAACGTGGTGTGATGTTTGGGGAGGATAGTTGTAGGTGAGGATGGGGAAAGAGGATGATGTTGAGTCTACAAATTAATTATGTTTTGTTCTTTGGTGATAGAGGCTGGGTGTATGTTATCGGTTGAGTTTGACTCAGGGTCCGACTCTCTTCACCATCATCTCTGCCAACCTCGACTATCGCGACATCGATCAACCCGGCTCATCCGGGCGCTTGACGCCAATTAAATTCACAACAGTTTGGTAATGAAAGTTCGATAAACCAGGCTGAGTAACTAAGACGGTGGTAATTCACAATCAAGCAGAAATGAAGAAACTCTGTATGAAGACCCGGAATTTATCGCTGGAGTAGTCGCCCACGCAATTGAATTGAAGTGTGCATAACTATCCTTTTGACTTAATCTTATCGAACCTAGCGGATAGTCATGTGATGTACTATCCGTGATAAGTAGTTTTAATGTACTTTCGTGGTACTGTTGATTATCTTAGTCGACTTTCCCAAGTAAAGCCTGAGTGGATAGCCTCAGCTGGACAGGATTGCCGTCCAGGAGAGATGAAGTCAGACATTTAGGAAAAGTTTCATGTTGAAAGATAATAGATGACAGGAAAAATAGCCAGTCCGGCAGTTATATGTACAAAGATGATTTTTCGCCCATGCGTAGTATGTTTGCACTTGGAGGTTGCATCAGAGAGGAATAATAGATGAGTTTGGGGGGTCGTGGTAAGATCTGAAAGAGTCTCAGTGTTTCTTCATCCTCTTAGCAGCCTCCTGAATGATATTCTTTCGGGGACGGCCACGCTTGGCCATAGGGGTTGGGGTGGCCTGTACTTCGCCTTGGCTTTCTTCATCGGATGAGTCGTCTGATTCGTCCTCACCATCAGTGGTGGGAACGTCGACAGACTTACCTTTGCCCTTGGTGGGCTGGAAGGATATTTCATCGTCTCGGGCTTCACCGGGCACGGTCTTCTCTCGGCGCGTGTCAGCCTTGAGGTATATACATACCCATAGGCCTCAAAACATAAAATAATAAAAATAACAATTACAACTCATGGTCAAGTCTCAAGACCAGCCCAAGAAAAAATATTATAAATAATAAATTAATATTAAGCATAAAAATCTATATATAAAAGTGTATATGGTCAAAAGCCTGCAAATGACCACAAAGGCCTTTAAAAATAAAAATAAACTTTTTTTACTTTACTTAGAAAATAAAAACAAAATTCATGTAGTTACATACCACTGTGTAACTACATACTGAAAAAACAAAGAATTCTGTAAAATAATCAATAACTAAAGAGTTACAGACATTTAAAGTTACAGAACCAAATCAGCTGATGACATAAACAAAGTTCAGTGGATGCGAACTCAAGATAAACAAGGTTTCAAGGCTTGTGCAACATGTACAACCTTGTAGCTCAGCAACTACAACCAAGTAACCAGTTTAGACCACATATTCTGAACCCTGACGAGCCACTTGGTCATGTAACCTGTTTTGTTTATCCCTAACCTTAATAACCTTTCTGAGCGAACTCAGAATATCCTCTTACCTCAGCCATCCATCAGAATAACCCTGGTCCAGTTTGAAATCAACAGAATTGAGAATTGGCCCATTTCAATCTGGCCCAAGTAGTTAATTTGTTCTCAGCCAGTACATATCAGAATACCTCAACCAATCCCCTCCAAAATGGATTGGAGGCGAAACAAAAAGCCTCCTTTGGATATCTGGAACCCTAGCAATACCTTGGTATTGCATCATAATATCCTGACTGGGTAGCTGTACCCGTGGTTACAGTTACAACTGTTTCAGCCTTTGGGATACTGATAACCAAGGCCTTGGGCATGGCTTCCACTCAGCCAAACAAGCCCAAAGCATCAGTGTCATCGTGCAAAAATGCACTGCAAGCCACCCTAAGGTGTGTGGCTATATAAAGACTCCTTTATTGAGTGCTTAAACCTCAGAAATTCACCCACTTCACCATATATACTACTATATACTTGAAGCCAGCATTTCCAACCATTTCTTTTATCAACCTTAGCATTCCAACCACGAAACAGAGCTCCTCTTTTACTGCTACCTTCAGCCTTAACCTGTAGCCTTTGCCCTTAAAGGATCCCAGCTCCTTATTCCTTAAAAATTGGCCATTTTCTTACTTTCTGTTGCAGAAGTATTACTCTAGAATTTGCCTAGGAATCCTCAACTCATCCAAAAGACCTTTTTGGACGAAATCCTTGTGATCTATTGTCTAACAAACAATTCACCCTTCCTCAATTCCTCCTTTGGAATTCAGAGTATTGATTAAAACTCAACTCTAGGCCTCTTAACAAGTAATATTGTGAGGTTATAATTTCTTTGATTGTTTAACCAACAATCCCCTTTTTTTGTAAGTTTAAATATACTTTAAACTTTAAAAATTAATATAAAATTACTAACAAAAATTTATTAGGACAGGAATAGTACTAGAAATTCCTTCTAGTTTCATATCCAGACCTTACAGCGCGCTAGAAACTGAGACAATTTCGGCTTGGTGGAGTCAATGGCAGAGGGCCCTGGCTGGGGCAACGATGCCTTCGGTGAAAATTTTGTTCTTTTTAAATGGATCAGTTGTTGACAATGGTAGGCGCTGGTATCAGTAAAGTTGCTGAAGACGTACAGTTTTCGGCCATGAGGGGAGGGGCTATTCGATGGACCTTGGCCAACTGGGTTTGCACGGCCAATTTGATGACCTGACGTGATGGAGACAGATGAGACCTGTGGGAATATTGTCAACTTGTTGGTACTCAATCTGATGGCGCATTTGCAACGTACAATAACAATGGCAATCTGGTCTTCCATGTGGAAATCAACTAAGCGACCGATTATGTTAACTTCACGGCCAACTTGATATAAGGTGTGTGTTTTGACAAGATTCTTTGTGCCGGGAACAATATATTTAATGTTAAAACGCCTGTGAACCCGTTCCTGTGGAAGGGTAATTGTAAGATTAGCCAAATTAATGTAGAAGGTGAATAAAGTACTTACTTCTCCATCCCAGTCACAATGAGCAACGATAACCTCTAATTGTGTCCCAGTATCCAACGCTTGGGTGGCAACTTCACGCCGGGATATGACCATTCCAAGACTGGTGACAACTGATTTATTGGTGAAATCAGGTTGGTCCGGTCCTGACGCACTGATGCGAAGGACTGTGTCTTGTATGTAAGAGAGGACGGGCGTGGACCCGTTGTTAAGGGCTATCATTTGCCCACTCAAAGCGTAGATTGAGTCAGTGCTGAGTGTATTCGTGAGTGCAGTGTTGGTCACAAGTTCAACCTCGAAATCTTCGTTCTTTTCGCCATTACTGCCTGCGCATTGGAAGAAGCTGGCGGTCTTGACATAACCATATTGGTTGGCACGGACGGATTCTGCGACAGACTAATGAGATGGGTTGTTAGTGAGTTGCAATACATTTTACCCAATCTGACTAACATCAGATAGTGGTTGGAAGTGACCGTTGAGGAAAGCGGGGTGGTTTGGGGCTCGAACAGCTGTCATATTGTGATGAACCTGTCAAAGTTAAATATTGGTGAGCAAGAGCGAATGATGAGTCCTGGTTTGGGGTGACATTAAACTGACGTGTGGAATCTAATAATCGCTTGGAGCAGTGATGAATGTGCGACAGAGTGAGATGGATTGAATTCGTTTGAGATTGGGTGTGAGGGTAGGTGAGATGAGTTTGTAAGTGGGAAGTTGTTGGTGGGCTGAGGTGAGGGTGTTGTTTGATGAGGGATCAAATAGACCTGCAGGTAGTTGATTGTGCAAAAACTGGAGGCGAGGATGTGTTGTGATTTGATGTATGAGCCGAGTGTGAGAGTTGTTGGTCACGAGAGTTTCATCGGTGGCGAGGGCCGTTTGATGAAGTTTGGGCCAGGGCAGGCGAGTCTGGGTTGGGTAAGGGGGTTGTTGTGATTGAATGTATTTGAATTGCTGGACGAAACTGTGGCTTGACCATCAAGGGTAGTTCAGTTGAGTTGTGTACATGAAAGAGCGCGCGAAAAGTCTAGGGTAAACAACACTGACTGGAAGAACTACCAGGCAACGGAGTATGATAGTTGTTGTTAGCCGAAGCGGCAACAATAGCCCGGGTCATGGGATGAATTTTGGGCTGGGCGTTGTGAGTTTGTGTTGGGTGAGGGATGTTGTCCTGGACCAGGCGAGGAAGATGCTTGGTTGAAGCTGGTGTTGTGCTAGTGGCAACAACGACTGATCCCTAGGTGACGAGGCAGCAGATGTGGGGGGAGGTGGTTTGAATTAAGTTGAACGTTTTGTCGACCCTGTTTCTTTGCAATCAAGATTGACTGAGGTGGATGTGTAGTATGAAGAGTGCACTAACTGTAGGTTTAATGACGCCGATTCCTAAGCTGCCAGGCAACGAGAGTCAAGAGTCAACGAGGCAAGCCGTATTATGTTCAATTATTGTTTTGTCGATGGGTCTGTACTTGTGCTGGTGTCCATGTAGTGCTCGGCGAAGGGTTCATGTTTGTTGGTTGTGATGTTGTTGTCGAGGGTGAGGGGAGGGTCCTGACGATTGGGCTGAGTGTTGTCGAGCGGGGGATTTAGCGGTGATGCTGCTGGAGGTGTTGAGTCCGGTGGCAGGGCAGTGCTGGGGAGATGGGTTATAAGCGGCCTGCGCTTGGGCAGGATGATGAGGCCAGGGGTGTTATGATTTGGAATTTGCTATCAAACCCCCTCTGGCCACCTGCTGTCACACTTGTGCAGTTTGGTGGTTAACGCGCTGGCCCCCCACTGGCTTGTGTCTGTTGATGCTGCCGGGGGCCTTCATGTCCAGGGTTTTTGACGCTTGCTTTGACAAGTGCTGGACACTGAGCCCAGGTGCTCCAGCGTTGCTGGAGTTGGGGGGCTGAGGCTGCTGTTCTGAATTTGTGCAATGGGAAACCTCTGATCTGTTTGCCATGAATGTGAATTTGGGGGAAACCCTTGAATTTTTTTTTTACAATTCACTGGATTTAATATACTTGGATTTAATACATGTACATATTTATTTGTAATAATAATTGACCGTGAAAATGCTGTAGACCAGGGATAACTTGTGGTACAGGTATTTCACGGACACAGGAGTGAAAGGTAAGTGATAATTACTTATGTATAAAACAGATATGTATTTAATGTATAAGTAATTAACAGATAAAATAGATATAAGATAAATAAGGTAAGTTAATAATAATGATAAGATAACAAGAGGTAAAGGTAATCAACATTATGGATAAGTACTTATGTACATCAGTACAGGTGTTGCAGTTACTTGGTACATGAAAGGTACTGTGACATGTACTCTGTGGCTAACACTTCCTCCCTCTAAAAAAGGCTGATCCAAGAAATAAATTAATGTTATTTTCTTTTATCAGCTCTGTATTGTCTGAGAATCTTATCAGCATCAGGTATTTTATCAACTGTAAGCCATTCATCTTCTTTGGTACCACTGTATCTTACTAAGTATTGTTTAATGTCTTCATTGTTTTTTCTGATTTTTCTATGTTGTAATATCTTCTTGATTTTAATTTCTTCTTTTTCTAAAGGAGGTATTACGACTCTGATGTTATCTTTTCTTAAAGGAAATTTCTCATTATCACTAGTTTTGTATGGTTTAATTAGACTGACTGGGAATGCAGGGTGTTTTATTTCTAATTTTCCAGTGAGTATAACTTCAACAGCATTTGCACCGTGTAATTGTTTAATTGTAAAAGGTCCTACAAAGGAATCTCTTAATTTTTTAGGGCCAGTCAGGTTTGGAAAATTAAATGTAGATATCAAGACTTGGTCTCCAACTTTAAACTGGTGAGCTTTGTGAGTTTTATCCCATCTAGTTTTGTTGTAGTCTACAGCTAATTTCACGCATTCTGCTGCATATTTTTCAGCTTTGGTCATCATAAAGTGAAAATCAGAGGCACTTGGGTGTATGTGTACTGCTTTTGACATTAAAATTTCTTTTGGAAACCAAGGAGTCCAACCTCTTTCTAATTCATAAGGTGTTTTATTTGTTGTACTGTGTTTGCTAGAATTGTAAGCATATTCAAGTGCAGGTAATAATGAACACCAATCATGAGTATAGTTGTCTTTATCCTTAAATGTCATACCATAGGCACAATATCTTCTGATCATGTCTTCCAAAGTTTGAATCATTCTTTCAGCTAGTCCATCTGTTTGAGGGTGGTAAGCTGTAGAAAATTTTAGTTGTGTCCCACATAAATCATATAAATTTCTCCAAAATTCTGACGTAAATTTAGGGTCTCTATCTGTAATGATATATCTGGGACATCCAACATCATAAATAATAGAGTTCCAAAATAATAATGCAGTATCCATTGCTGTATCTTCTTTATGACACGGTAGAAATCTTGCTCTTTTGGAAAATCTATCAACTACTACTAAAATTGCATTGAAATTATTAGGTCCTCCAGGTGGTAATCCAGTAACAAAATCCATGTTAATAACACACCATCTTTCTTTGGGTTCTTCAATTTCTTGCAATAATCCATATCTTTTTCCTGTAGCTTTATTTGCTTTTTGACATCTGTCACAAGATTCACAATAATCTTTAGTATCATTCTTAAAATTAGGCCACCAAGCAATTTGTTTAACTCTCTCAATTGTTCTGTCAAAGGAAAAATGAGCTGAAGAGATATTGTCGTGGCATTCTTTCAAAAATAAATTAATGTGCTCTTTTAAACAAATAACTACTACACTTGTATGTTTAATTCTGTGGTAAATTAATCCATCTAATAGAGAGAATCTGTTTTCTTTAAATGAACTAAACCCATGGTTCTTCCAATGAATTTATCAGATCATTTTTTTTGAAATTACTTTGTAAGATATTTTTAATTGTGGAGCAATTCTTATTTTGGTCATAACTAATTCTTATTTCATCCCAAAATTATTCTTGCATTTCAGTTACGTGTAACCCACAAATATTAATATCATCAGTGTTATCATCAAAGGCAGGATTATTCTCATCATTTTCTTCTGGGAATAAACACATAATTTTTGCAGCAATTTCTCCGTCCCAGGCTGGGTTATCTGGTATATTTTCTAAAGACCATCTACTAAGTCCATCAGCATTTTTATGTATATTACCTTCTCTATGTTTAATAGTCATACTTCCTCTCCATTCTTGAATAGCTATTTGCCATCTGAGCATGTGTCTATTTGGAGTTTTCATACTTAATAAACTTTTGAGGGCTGTACAATCAGTAATGACTTCAAATTCACATCCATCAAGGTAATAATATAATTTATCTAAGGCCCAGACTAAACATAAGCATTCAAGTTGGCTGGCACCGTATTTTTTCTCACTGTCTTTCAAAGTTCTAGAAATATAACAAATGGCTCCTTCTTTTGGTATTTCTTGATCTTGAATTTGGTGTAAAGCAGCTCCTAATCCTTCCATACTAGCATCTACATATAATTTATAAGGCTTATTTGGATTAGGCATAAATAATATGGGAGCAGAAGTAAGTAGTTCACGTAATTTATTGAATGCCGCTACTCTGTCTACTGTCATCTCAAAGGAGGTGTTTGGGCTACTTAATTTATATAGACAACCAGTTACTTTGGCAAAATCCTTTATATGTTGTCTGTAATAACTAGCAAAACCAAGGAATGACTGTATTTCTTTAACATTAGTGGGCATGGGTTTCATCATTACTGCAGCTACTTTATTTTTATCAATAGCTATACTTAATCCTGAAACAATATGTCCTAATGCTTTGAGTTCTTGAAAACCAAATTGGCACTTGTTCATAGAGATCTTCATATTCATTTTGATAACTCTTTCTAGAACAATTTTCAATTTTTCAAGGTGGTCATTCCATTCAGTGCTAAAAATAATAATGTCATCAATATAAATTATTAGCCACCCTTCACGTAATTCTTTGTGAAATTCAGTATCCATCATTCTTTGGAAGTGAGAGGGTGCATTTTTAATTCCAAAAGGCATTCTTAAATATTCATAAATACCCATATGTAGAATAATTCTCATTAAATGTCTACTATCTTCATGAATAACATTTTGATGAAATCCTTTCAGTACATCCATGCACGTAATATATTTAGCATTTTGTAATTGCGTGATGGCTTCACTTATTTTAGGCATTGGATATCTATCAGCAATTGTGTAATTGTTAAGAGCTCTAAAATCTCCAACCATTCTAGTTTTACCATTATGCCATGCAATAATTACAGGAGTAGTCACTTCAACATTTTCATTGGCACCAACTTTTCTAAGTACATTCATTTTTACTAGGTCAGTTACATGTTGTTGTAAGGCTTCTCTGCTTCTTGGGGATGCTGGGTATGCAGCTTTTCTTAATGCTGGAGGGTAAGGTCTAGAAGTGTTAAGATTAATTCTGACTTCATGTCCTTTTATGCGTCCAAAGGGTTCATCAGTAGTAGCAAAAGCTAGTTTCTTTTTGTGGAGTAAAGAATATAGTTGTGACTTTTCTTCTTCTGTCAAAGTACTAGAAATTTTTGCTTCTTCA